TTTGCTGTCTGGCCCAGGGCTTATCTATTTATGCCTCTCAGACATGATGTGTGGCAAACATTGGGAAGTCTCAATGGCAGTGAAACCTTTGAGCCCATGGCAGGGGCAAACATGACAAATGCCATTTGTTTCCATGGAGTCATATGGGCCATGTTAGATGTTTCCCAGATTGAGATAGCTACCACCTCCCTAATTCTGCTATCAATGGTACATCTTAAGTAGGTGCTACAGTACAAGTCACAGTACGAGATGCCACCAATTTCATTTAAGAGCTACCACTTCATCCTCTTTAAATGATAATAATTTCAGGTGCAACACTTCCACACATACATTCAATAAGAAATGACATAAGTGCAATACAATCAAGTAATTTAAAAAAATTCCCACAGGAAAACAAATACTGGAGCCAAATTAATAGCGCAGTCCAAGATGCATTCGACACTCGTAGCGCAAATCAAGCAAATCAAATGTCCAACGACATCGACCTCAACAACAAGTTCTTACCAACGTCATAAATGTAGCCCTATCCCAAGGTGAAAATAAACAGCTTCAGGGATGTTAAAAAGGCTGGAATCCGAAATGTGAGCTGACACGAACGCACGCATTACCCAGACCCGGCTGCCCCCAACAGCAAGTGATAACCGTGCTAACAAAAGCCCGATGCCAGTTTAGTATACGCCTGGGCATGCATTTAGGTTAAGGATGTTTTTCAGGTAAACACAGTTCAGAATAGGCTGTTTTTGGACATTTCGGTTCGTGAGAGTGGTCTTAATTGTAAGGAAAAGGTTTAAAAATGTGCCGTTTTGTTTAAAAGATCGAGAGTTTAAATACCCATTTATTATAGTCTATAGGTTCATGACGTCAAAGCAGCGACTGAATCCAATTCAAGTAAGGGACTATGCACCTTAGGGCTTACCAAGGCCAGACCCTGCTATTTTCAAGGCGCCACGCATCACGTACACCAACTGGCGGAGTAATGGGGTGGGGGTGTCCGTGCCCTGGCCTTTTCAGTGATAAACCCATCCACCGCGTGCATGCTTACGTGATTGGGTGCGTTGAAACTGGTGCATGCTTGTGCCTAACGGATTTCAGGCTGGGTTATGCTGAAATATTGAATGCAATCTTTTAATCGTGTTGCGTGTATTTTTACTCCAATTTCCTTAGCATCACCATAATTCCTTTAGACTTTGGCTCTCTCTGCCCTGGGTATGGGGTTGCTGTGCATTAAACTTGGGGCTCTCCTATCTAGTGTGTGTGAACCAAGTTGCTGGCAGGATGTTGCAGGTGTCGCCACAACATTTCAAAATACATCCAGTAGAGTATCCGGAATGTAAATATGACATCATGTATCTCAAACCTTGCCTTTCTAGCATCCTCTGGATGCAGTTTTGTGGCTAATCTGTTGCACTTTGACTGTGAACCCCTACATTTTGACCTGTCCAGCCCCTTGCCATCCCTGGCCAACCAAGCCCCATATGTAATAACATGTGAGAATTTTAACATTTCTGTTACCTAAATGGCCAAATGCTTAACACTGCTAAGTGGGCAGACACCCATAACCAAACATATTTATATGGTTGAGCCCTGGTCACAGTTTGTCAAATGTGTTTTAAGCATCAAAATGGCTATATTATGAGGGATGACTTGTTGAAATATTCCAGATAAATAAGAGTAAAAGAACAATATAAGTGGTACAAAAGGTAATATTATGGTTGTTCAATACAAGATACCGAGGCAACATATGTTGTGTTACTTCCTTCTGTAACTGGCATGCATTTTGTTCAGCTCAGTTCAGTTAGTGCAGCTCAGTTCAAAGTTTTGGTGGTTGGTTGGCACCAACCACCAAACCTAAAACCAGTTCCATGTTTTTTCTTGCTCTGGGAATGGGAAGAAGGAACAGGTTCCAGGGAATAAATCTCAGCAGCCAGGCACACTTTCCTCACCCAATGCACCTGTAACCCATGCTTGATGTAATTGTCAGTACCCTGCTGGTTGAGGATGTGCTCGTTGATTAAGTATTCACTGGGTGTTTATTGGTGGCAGTGGCAGGAACCATGTCGCTTGGGCCAAGAAAAGGCACAAGGAATTCTGCAAAGATCACATAAAATTCAGTGATCTGTTAATGTTGAATAAAGCTATTACTACCTGTTCCTTAAATATCATTGATTTTTTCATCTGCTTTCTTTTCATTTTATGGCTGCACATGCAGCAATAAAATGCTTGCATATGCATTAGTCGTTGATCTGTCATTCAGGTAAAACTCACATATGTCAGCACATACTGTAGGGTCAGTTCATGGTGTCTTCTTGAGTGAAGATGCATGAGTTTTGTGCACCAGCACTGTGCAAACTGCATACCTGAACTGTAGGTCTTGTCTCAACTGTTAACAGTTTTCATACCAGAAAACAGTATTGTTTTGCCTTTTCATTGAAAAATATTACCCACCACATTTTTGAAACGCCACCAATTTGTAAGACACAGGCTGGTTGTAGGCAGGCATTCACTGATATCCACTAGATGAATCCATCATATGAGGATTTCCAGGTAATACAGAAATGCCCCATGGTCACCATTCCTATGGATTATCAGGGTATATCTTATTTGTATTCCAAAGTTGTCATGAGCTGCTCAGATTATGTGAAAGGAAGATATACTGCTGATATATCTTTAGGTTCCATATATTGGTCAGTGCTCTGCAAAAAAGGGGGAGGTTTTTATGTCTGCTAGTGTTACAATGTTTGATTTAACCAGTTACTCAAGCAGCATTTTTGGAGACTTTGTATTTTCAAGATACCCAATGAGAAAAGTGTTCTAGAACATGCACTGGAAAGCAACTCCTGGTGCTATTTGAGCTCTACATTGGATATTTTTTAATGTCTTGTGCCAATGCTTTGTGACATTTTACAGTTTTTACATGGTTTTATGACTCCAAAAGATATGCTTAGATTAGTCAATATGAAAAATTAAGATGTTTGTGAGTCATGGCTACCATTTATATTTCAACCATTGAAGGCAGCATTAACTGGTTTGTCAAGTAGCTTGACAATTGTTATATCACATTGTGTTATTTCAGGACCATATTGCGCTTGGTGCTGGGTGCTCTTAGTTTAGTGCACGCACATGCACACACACACACCTCCCTTCATCAGCGCCACCTGTACGGGCCAAGCTTAGTCTGACCGTGTTCGCCATCTCCTTTCATCAGTGCCACCTGTGTGGACCAAGCCTTGGCCTGTCGTGGTCACCTCCTCCCTTCATCAGCGCCACCTGTGCGGGCCAAGAGTTGGCCTGGCCGTGGTTGTCTCTGCCCTGCTGCGGCGCCTTGCCTACCTGCAGGGCCGGCGCCTGGCGGTGGAGCTCGCCGCTCCACGGTGGCGCCCTCTATATGCGGAGAATAGGGGCCTAGTGATGGTCACATTCAGTCTACTACAATTCATGGTGTCCTCCCCTACAGTGGCGACCTCTGCGCCCGCAGAGCGTGCGCGTCCTGGTGATCATCGCCGCTGGGTAGTGCCGGCCCTTTATACCCACAGGACCTGGGTCAAAAATGGATGACATGGCATGGGTGACATGGTACGCGTGACATAGCACGGGTGACGTCACTCCCTCTTGTGTGACATCACGTAACGGCCACATGTTGATCACGGATATTGGTTGTGTTGCTGGCTCATTTCGATGCCTGCTATCACTCGCGGCTTCTTTTCCGCATTCACCCGAAATGGGATCGTCCAATGTACCGTAAACTGTATTCCGTGCAGCAAAGACCAATGCTGGCCGAAATAGGCTTTGAAGGTGACTGTAAGAAGGCGTTTGAGGACCGTAAAGATTGTAACACATGTCTGTTGTCTGGGACTCACTGTGGTTCCAGGGGACGCCTAGGAAATGCGTCGCTACATCGGGTAGGGTGGAGCCCAGGTTTACAGTTTTCAGCATGGCGTCATAGCTGAGTGTGTACTTGTCTCGCCATGCGCGGCTTGTAACCAGCGCTCCCGAAATCCTCAGAGGAATGGCACATGTGCGACATTTAAGCTGACGAACGGCAGCCGGGGTGAAATGGGAATCAGTTAAGGGAGGGAGCACCCAGGAAGTCGGCGACTGCCAAACGTGAAAATAGGAAGAACGAAACTTCAGACGACATGACCGCTCTGGAGCCCAGAAGCTTCATCGCCGAGAAGTGGCTAGTGTTGGGTGTATTTCACGCATGTTATACTCACATAAAGTGTGAAGTGTTGCAGGAGTCTCATGGACATGACCGACCCAGGTTTTGTTTCTCACTTTATGTAACGGAACGACAAAAACAAAGCGGTCTCGTTACCAATTGCCTTTTTATGACCTTTTGCATCACTACCAGGAGCGCTTGGGTGCATTTTGGTCTTCATACGTGTGACATTTCAGCACCAGGAGCAATTCATGATACCGCGTGTGACGTGCAATGACAAAATTGCTGCCGTGTCCCATAGAAGATTATGATCCCGAGTTGTCTGCGACGATATGATGTCGTGTTCCTGGTGTAAACGGACTGTGATGACGTCATCCAGTGACTGTTGAGCTGCCAACGTGACGCTAAGCATGTCTTGTCAGCAGTAGCGCAAAAAACGCGGCCTCACATAGACGGCAAAATTTGCCGTTGTTCAGCCACCACTGCGTCGCCGTCCTTCGCAAACAGCACGGTGCAGATGAATGCGACTGCTTTTGTCGTTATCAATGCTGTAGCCCTTTTCTTTCATCGCAAGGTGCAGCATTTTCTGCAACGGAACATCACGAATTGTGTGATGCGTCTCACGTCTTCGGAGCCGCAATGACAATTTGACATGAATCATGTGTTTTGGCAAGGGCCGTTTCGGGGACAGTATTAGAGCAATATATAGCGATGTGAGTTGGTCGTGCCTTCGGAAAATGGGCAGCATGTTACCTGCCTACCCCTTTGTGATTTGGGATGTATATTCGCCAAGGGCTTTGACAATCGCAGGCTGTTTGTAGGCTCGAGTTCTGTTCATGTCTGAGATGGGGATAGCCTTGTATTTCGCCTTTTCTATATGTCTATCATTGCACCCGATCTGAGTCTCCCAGCAGCCTGGAAAGATGCTGAAGTGAGCCAAAGCCATTACCACTCTCTAAAACTGTGGATCGATATCAGGCTCGCTGCCGGATGCAGCAGTTTCTGTCACATCGGTGTGAGACATCTTATGTTTTGCTGATTCCGAGCAAACGCCAGGCTGGCCGTTGTAGTCCTCAGTCTGTAGCCTCAGGCTCAGGCGTTCTGCTGGGGACCACTGCAGGTGACCGCCGCCACCTCTCCTCGGCTGCAGTTATCCCGGGTGCTGTGGCGACAATTCTTCAGGTGGCTCTCGGAGCCACTGCAGCTGACGTCATCCATGTAGAAGTTTTCAGGTCCTCCGGCACCGTACGCGGAGCAGCAGTGTGCTCTCCCAGCGCTGAAAAAACAAGTGATCTTTTATTCCAGTAGTTCTCGCGATCACGAAATGCATTACCTAAGTTGCGTACCTCACAGTTGTAGTGTATGGAACGTCTGAATACATGACCAGTTAATGTATTGTTTCTGGCACTGGTCAGCTCATAAATGTGGGTAGTTTACTACTCATTCAGCATGATGTTGAACATGACATGAAATCCACGCTAAGCATCTTGCAGTTAATTGAAATTACATGGGAGCAAGTATTTACCGCCGTATCAATGCCTCACAAAATTTGGTAACAGTTGCACGCATGAAAGTAACCCCACCGGCGTCGCTGTTTGCCAGGGCGATCGAAGTGAGGGTGTTGTGGCGATGGACATTAAATGCAGCGTATGATGTTGCGAAAAGGAAAAAAGGTTCATAATGTGCCGGGAGTTCAAAAAATACAGCGACCTAAAACACGTACCTAAATCCTAATGTTCGGCAGACAACTGACGCGTCCACATCCTCCCACTCGTCGTCACAGACATAGCCCCAAGTGCCGCCGAGGGGTCTGAGTTCGACTCGGCCTTGCGCACAGGAATTACCTCCAGCCAGCCGGTACTCATCTGAAACGTCAACAGTGCTCACATGGCATAGTTTTCCAAGTTTGGATGGACGCAACCACAGCGCCATTCAATGGCCTCTTCCTTATATTTACTAACGATAACCCTCATTGCTCATGAATTTTCCGGCTCCTATCATATACGTCACGCGTAACTAACCGCTCTGTATTTATAAGGAAAGGGACGTATTCAGGGAAAATAAACCTGCGCATAGCGTACCGATCATTGGCGTCAGTGCGCGAAAAGCTGTCATGAGCGAGCGGAGGCTTGTGAGCGATTCACAATGTGTCGCTGGAAAAGGGCCCCACTCGCAAACTGCACTGTACAAAATGCTCTGACGCAAAGCTGGCAGCGAGCGTGCCGGAAGCCCAACACACCACGGTCCAAGCGCTTTCACAAGACGACGGAACCACGGAATCCGTTGTGAACGTGTTGACGCTTAGTAGCAGTAGTCAGTCATCGAGTGCAGCACAGCAACGTGTAATCGGTGTGAAGACCATTGAAAACCTGGATTAATTCTTCCGCGTGATCCTTTTCTTCAGATCATCTGTTCTAGTAGTGAAATATGTGGCTACAAAGAAAGCCAAGTGCTGTGTGAGCGTCAATATTTTTTTCTAGCAGTGGGAGGTCGCTCATTGGCTGTTGGGTCCAAACGGCGACGTCATGTTCGCTTGGGGGGGGGGGGGGAAGGGGCATTTAATGCGCGCGCGCATGCACGCATGCACACTCACGGACTCTCGGGGAAGCGGCACAAAGGAAGCCTTTTTTGCAGGTAGGAAGCTTCGTTGGAGCCCACAGGCGTACAGAAACAGCGCACCGTACATGTCCACTCCGTCATCCTCTGCCTCTGCCTCTAAATGATTGCTGCTGAACGCGGTGCGCTACCGTCTATTGCAGTCAATGTGAGGTTTCCTGATCACCAGATTGTCGAGTTGTAATTAATAGAGTTATTGTCGAGTTGTAATTGTAATTATTGTCGAGTTGCTGTCGAGTTGTAATTAATAGAGTTTTTGTCGAGTTGTAATAGTAATTATTGTCGAGTTGTAATTAAATTGTTATTGTTAGTTGTAGTTAATGAGTTGTAGTTATTGTCGAGTTGTAATTAATAGAGTTATTGTCGAGTTGTAATAGTAATTATTGTCGAGTTGTAATTGTGAAAAACTGCACGCGAGGCCTGCGAGGGACACAAAGGTCATGGATTTCTCAAAATGCTCCATCGATGTATCAGTGATGAAATACTTTGGATTAGCGCGCGCCTAAGAGTCATTATGAACGATTTGTGTTTGACAGAATTGCGCATTAATCCTCATCGAACGGACTATGTTCTTGTACGAGCGAGGGCAAGGTGCAGAATTGCACGTCAGATGACGACACAAACTGGCGAAAAGTTCGGGCATCTTCGGCGTACAAAAGGCAGCCGGACTGAGTGACGCACAGTAGAACGCTTATGAACATCGAAAGGGGGAGTGAAGCCGAAAGGGATCCTTCTGGAACACCTGAGGCATTGGTCTCCACTGGGAAGTGTTTCCGAATAAGTTTTAGGATGGTAATAATAAGTTGAGAAGTTTTCCGGAATAGCGAATATAATCTGAACGAAATGAGCTACCACCAGGGCGCAGCCAAGAGAGCTCGCTTCAAACGTGTACGTGTTTTTGTGTAGTTTTGGTATTTGTGTATGAGGAAAATAGTATTAACTCGCATGCACAACCATCATATGACCACAGAGCGCATGACCTAAGGTCGGGTCATGACTTACTTCCATGAGTGTCCCGCAAAAACACATGATCTCGAAATATGCAGTTCTCTAAAGCAATTTGGGGCACAGAATTCGGCGGGTATACTGAAAACCTGTTGTCGTGTCAATCTAATGCAAAATGAGGTCACAATGGGTCACGCGAAAACACGCCAGACCATATGATGTCACCCAAAGTCAATGATTTATTTTGCCAGTAGCGTAGAGGTTAGATGAACGAGTGTGACGCGTGTAACCACCTCTATGTTGTGTTTCTGAAGCTGGTGGTGCACAATTTCATGCATAAATGTGCCTGTTCTCAGTTTGTTACACCAGCATTGTCAAACGCCGAATGGGCTATGTATACCGCGTGCCACAGTTACGCGGTGCTGAGCGCCTGCAGATATACAGTACACAGTTAACTACCGCAGAAAAGCATTGCACTATTCGCATACCCGGTTAGCAATTCAATTTTCAAAGTCGATAGTTTAGAAATTTGACCTAATTTGACCTCCAACTGGTCAGCAAAACTACAACTATGTCAGCCTAAAATGGTAGTTTTGTGTCTGGATAATTTGGTCAAGAGCACATTGTGAAAGAAAGCAAAAAGTAGCGTTTGTGTGGGCTACTGATAGTCCAATCATGAACCTGACCTGACCTGACCCTCATGGGGAAACACAATGGCCGGGTTCCCCTCGCATCGTTCAGATCCTTACCTCAAGAGAGCAGACATTTGCTCTTCCGTTACAAATGTAACGCCTACTATTGGACACATGCATCATGGCGCGACACTGCGTACATATTTTTCCACTTACAGCTTCCATGCACGACGCCCGGACAGACGCGTTCCGAGCACTCGCCCGAGTTGCACGTGAAGTTGGAGCGGTGCGTGGAGCAGTCCTGGTCGAAGGTGCATGCCTGGCCTGCGCTTACACCTGTAATGTTATATGGGTCAGTGCAGCGTCTCTCAGTACCGTGATTTAACGATGACATTTCGCGTATACGCCACGGATAGGTAAGACTGGGCTTTGAACGTCAAGTCCGAGGTGCCAAATTTTGTTTCACGCTGTTTTGCGCCGTATGCGCCATAGCAGTCAGCACCAGAAATTATTTGTTTGCCTTGTGCACTGGAAATCGCCTAAGACTTTTATCCTGGTTTAGATATTCCTAAGGCCTCCGGAGACAAGGGGCTGGAATTAATGTCATAGATGTTGTACAAACTCCGCCTTGAACACTGATGATACGGGTATTGCAACCACATCTCAAATGCTTGTGACAATGTGGAGTAAGGATTTGCACACATCTTTCATTAAAGTGAGTTAGATGCTGCTCACTGTTGCACTATCCATGGTGCCAGCAGTGCTTGCGCTTCCAGAATGATTCGACCAGCCATCATTTGGTCCCTACGTCTACAAGATCATTGATGCTGTTCTCAAAGAAATTTTCTTGAGGGAGCCGTGCGAGACACGCAGCATTCTTGACACACTCAACAGCGGTGGATGTGGCGCGGGTTGCCGTCGGGCTCTGACACGTCCCACAATGGTGGATGCAGCGTGGGTTGTCGTCGGGCTCTGACACGTCCCACAGTGGTGGATGTGGCGCGGGTTGTCGTCGGGCTCTGACACGTCCCACAGTGGTGGATGTGGCGCGGGTTGTCGTCGGGCTCTGACACGTCCCATAGTGGTGGATGCGGCGTGGGTTGTCGTCGGGCTCTGACACGTCCCACAGTGGTGGATGTGGCGCGGGTTGTCGTTGGGCTCTGACACGTCCCACAGTGGTGGATGTGGCGCGGGTTGTCGTCGGGCTCTGACACGTCCCACAGTGGTGGATGTGGCGCGGGTTGTCGTTGGGCTCTGACACGTCCCACAGTGGTGGATGTGGCGCGGGTTGTCGTTGGGCTCTGACACGTCCCACAGTGGTGGATGTGGCGTGGGTTGTCGTTGGGCTCTGACACGTCCCTCAGTGGTGGATGTGACGCGGGTTGTCGTCGGGCTCTGACACGTCCCACAGTGGTGGATGTGGCGCGGGTTGTCGTTGGGCTCTGACACGTCCCACAGTGGTGGATGTGACGCGGGTTGTCGTCGGGCTCTCACCTGGCCGGCATTCGTTGTTAGCTCGGTTCCAGTATCCTGTCGCACAGGCGCAGATACCGTCCGTGCACACCGAATGTGCTGTCATAGCCTGCAACGATTAGCCAACGCACTCAGCGGCGGCATGAGAGGGTGACGCTGTTATACACGGTCGCACTTCTAGCGAACTGGCAGGACGTGTCAGATACTGGGCTTGACATGCAGACGCTGGGGAGGCCGACGGAGTCGCTTGCGTCATCTCAGCTCCACGCGCTCCATTTGTCATCACCATTAGGTCGCATACAAAATCACTTGTGAGATAGACATGTCCATACAGATAGGAATGTAGCCAACAAATCAGCAGATACATAATTAAATAATTTACCAACAGACGGACAAAACATTCCGGACATGATCTAGGCTCTTCGAACGTCTGGTGGTACAGAAGCTCGGTATGATAATATGCTATTGTCGGCGGTGCCAACAAGTAGGAAGTAAAATTTTTGCTACATGGCGGATATTTGAGCGTTTCACTTTTCACTATTTACATTATGGTTTGGTGTTTCCATTGTTGACGGTTTTGAATGGCCTTATCATTATTTGGAAAATTGTTTAAATTTGTTTCCACCGATTATGCTTTAGCATTTACCAATATTATTCGCGGTACCGTGTGCTATCAACTGTAATGTGTACGTTTTCAAGGCCCGCATTTACCATGTGCCACGGCTCTCCATTGCACATCTTCACAGCTAAAAAGTCTGCAACGGAAAGGCTGTTTTGGGAGTTCTGTCAACCTTCAAAGGAAACACATGCTGGAAACACTTAGCGCATTTGAAATACCCAACCAGCAGAGAAGTGCGAAATGCAGACGCATCCTATGTTTAGAGCATCGCCCGCTGCACCAAGGGTGACAACGTGGCAACGCATGGCTTGTTTGAACAGGTCAATTTTGGGAACGATTTCAACTACTACGGATGTTGCCTGCTGCAGACTGTGACAAAAACCGTCAGCTTACAGATTGTTAGTTCAGATCGTTTATTTAGCTGCCAAATGTCCCCTATCCTCACGGCTGTATAACACTTATACTGCATCACAGGCGTAGGCACGTTTCAAAAAGTGTGGGGGGGGGGGCATGCTCGGGGTGTAGTTCAGGAACTTTTTCTGGAAAGAAGCCCGATGACCGGGGGAAGGGGTAGGTAGAGATTGAGGTAATCGCTCTTTATTCAAATGTAATGACTTCTTTTCTAGACGTGAATCCTAGAGCTGTTAGGTCACCACCGCCAGCACCACACGTGACGCCCGCTCACCTGGCACTCGCTGTCGGTCGTGCACGGCTCCGACAGCAGACGGGCTTGGCACTCACTTCTGGAGATCCGCCTAAAGCCGGCGGTGCACGTGCAGGTGCCGTCGCTGTCACACTCTGAGCTAGGTACTGCCCTGAAGCAGTCCGCGTTGTTTTCGCACGCGTCACCCAGCACCCTCCCTGGCAACAGCAAGCAGTCATGAAGTGGCAGCAAAAAGGTCGCTTCGATTTTATCGAAACAGTTCGGTAGTGCTGGATTGACGTGGGCGTTGTACAACAGAACAGCAACAAATACGGCAGTGACCAATGGTTTTGTTCGCAACAACATTGCGCAAAGTGTCGTGATATTCTTCACCACTTGCCAACAGACGCAGGATTAGAAATTGTTCATCAATAAGTCTGCCGGAGCATAGCTGGAACATATATATATATATATATATATATATATATATATATATATATATATATATATATATATATATATAGTGAAAAAGCGTGAGTGTACTTCAGTCTATGCTCAAAAAAAGTTGCGCACTCATTCCAACTCCGAAGACTTCAAATCAAGATATGACACCTATTTGGATTTAAACCCGGGACCCTGACATCTTGCATGCGGTAGCATCTTCCGTGCCCGTGAACGAGAGCTGCACAATGTGTCGTGCTTGCCAGCGGTTCGCAACGCTGCGTTACGGTCATGAAGACCTCCACGTTGAAAAAAACTAGGACCACTCAGTATTTTAGAATTCACTTGGTGTGCGGCTGTTGATATTACCTTGCTGAAATGTTATAGCTCATCCTAAAATTAACAAAACCATGGAGACGTGTTTGGCCGTTTTATGAACGAAAGCTGCTGTTGTTCTGTCTTGTAGACATAAGAAAGGAAATATCGCACAGAATCGGTCATGCTTAAGCAATTTTGTGTTGTTTACTTGACATAAGCTTTAAGTCAGATACCTATGCTCGATGGAGACAGTGAGTGGAATTTACGTGGCCGATTACGAATGTAGACAGTCGCTCGAAGTCTCTTACATGGCAGACGATTGACAGTAGTTTGAATGTTCGCCAGACCGTCCAATAAGGCCTCCGGTCTGCAGGATACCGCTGCGACGGAATCCTGCACAGCGTCAAGCCGAGATGACACCGAGCTCTGCATGGAATTCAGCTTTGAGGAGAATGAGACCTGGGCCTCTTGCACCGTGTCCAGTCTTGAAGAGACAGAGCTCTGGGCCTCTTGTAGGGAGTCAAATCTTGGGGAGAATGAGCTCTGGGCCTCTTGCACCGAGTCCAGCCGTGAGGAGACCGAACTCTGGGCCTCTTGCACCGAGTCCAGCCGTGAGGAGACCGAACTCTGGGCCTCTTGCACCGAGTTCAGCCTTGAGGAGACAGAGCTCTGGACTTCTTGCAGGGAATCAAATCTTGAGAAGAATGAGACTTGAGCCTCTTGCAGGGAGTCAAATCTTGAGGAGAATGAGACCTGGGCCTCTTGCACCGAGTCCAGCCGTGAGGAGACCAAACTCTGGGCCTCTTGCACCGAGTCCAGCCGTGAGGAGACAGAGCTCTGGACCTCTTGCACAGAGTCCAGCCTTGAGGAGACAGAGCTCTGGACCTCTTGCAGGGAGTCCAACCGGGGAAACGAGAGCTGCCAGGGTCTGCCTGATGTGGTCCAGGTCTTGGGTCGTGCTCTGGTGGGCCGCGGCCGTGGCCGCTCTCACAGTGAACTCGTAGAAGGTGGCCAGCTCCGCGAGCACCTGGTCCATCGAGGTGTCGCCCGTGGCCGGGGTGGGCGACGGTCGGCCCAGGCCTGGCTGAGTAGCAGCGTCACCAGCAGCGGCAGCAGCATGGTGCGGCACGGTCCGAGGACGTGGCACAACTGGGGCCGGAGGCGACTCGACGCTCATGCCAAGTGCGGCCGGCAGTGTTTACTGTACAAGATACGGCCGAGAGACTTCATGGCCCTCACCCCGGGTATACAGACGCCCCGACGGTGGTGACGCGGGTCGGACAAGTGACTCATGGGGGGTCATGAACTGCCCTCGGCGTTGTGGGATCTACAGTGATTCAGGAGGGCGTACGCTGGGGGCCGTGGGTGAGATCACCAGTCAGGGGATTCTTTCGATTGTGTTTGTGATTGAGTTTTTCAAGTGTCTACTTTATTCCATTGCTCACTGACAGACTAATAAAATTTTCCAAGTGTGGATCTGGGTTAGGGGTGGGAATTGGCGCTGACCGACTGAATGGAGTTATGGTACTGCATAGTGGGTCTGGAAAGCGATACCTAGCTGAAGATGTGGTGGAGAACTTCTGGAATGACGTCGTGGACCTCAATGCCGGTTCGTACCTGAGAATAACCTTGAATTTTGGAAAATCTATGGGACACAGACCAAAGAAGAGAAGGCAAGCCACCTCCGGGATGGGAGCCTCTTGATGAAAAAAAAACAGAACCAAACTGAAGAGCTTCTGAAGGTATCATCACTGGTGGGAGAGGGGTGTGAGGTCCGCCGTGACCCCAAACTAAACAATAGCAAAGGCACTATGTATGGCTATGACCTAGTGGACATCACTGAGGATGAGATCATTTACTGGTTTAAGGAGTTTGGTGTGATGGGAGCAAAGAGGTTTACGAAGAAGGTGGGAGGAAGGGTTGAGAATACCCCTACCATACTTCTCACATTTGGCGCGCCAATTTACCCCCCAAAACTGGACCACATAAAAGTTATATAGCGAACCGGACTACATAACTTATCATGTCAATGAGCATGTGCCCAACCCATTAATTTGCTAAAGATGTGGTAAATATGGGGACCCCGAAGGAAGGTGCACAAATGGCCGGACATGTCTGAAGTGTGGTGGGCGTGCGCATGAGGACGAATGTGAGGCAAAGTGCATGAGTTGTGGTGCGGCAGGGAATCCCCTATGCTGAGGCTAGGAAACGATACATTGCTAGTCACTAACCCCCTGCTCGAATGGCATACTCCACTGTGGCATGTGCCCCAACCGAAAAAAGGAGAGGAATTGAATGAGAAGGTGGAAACATTGGCGAAAAAGACAGATGAGATGACAGCTATACTTGCAAAGATGGCGAAACAACTTCAGTCCATGTCCATGTCCATATATTTCGTAACTTTCCACAATATCCAGTGGCTTTTTAGAAGTTGCACGTCATCATTGATAAAAACGGGCATAAAAGAGACAATGTGAAACCTAATAAAAATAGCCTAACACATCACACATCGGTCGAGGAATCATCTCGGTGAATCACACTACTGCATTCACATCGTAGCACCACACACAATCGAATTCACACACGCACCCACTCATGCGCCAACATTCGCCTCACTCAGTAGCAACTCCATAAGTTGGCGCTTGAAGCGGCCTAGACTCTGAACATTGCGCAAGTCGGGCGGCAGGCAGTTAAACAAATCCGATGCTCTGTAGCTAAATCGGCGAGTGCCAGAGTTGCTCACCGCTCGGGGGCGCCTCAGCTGGTTAGCCTGTCGCGTTTCATGAGTGTGCTCAGCAGTCCGACAAGGGAACAACCATTTCACATGATAAGCAGAGTCAGCAAACTGAGGCAGGCAGGGAGACACGTAATGAGTCCATGAGTGAGGAGGTGGTGCATATAAATGAGGTGACAACATGTAGCGAAAGTGAGCAAGTGACAAAGAACAAAGAAGATCAAAAGGCAGACCAGGAGGATACATGGAAGAAGGTCAAAGGTAAGAACAAGACCAAGAGCAAGGAAGATAAGGGACATGAGATGGATATCAATTGCAAAAATTATTAATATTTATCTTCCCAAAGCATTGGAA